TGAAGGGGGGTTAAAAATTTTCATTTCCAACTTTGCTTCACTTTCCTGGAGAATTGCTCTTAATGACTTTCCGTATCCAGGTTTGCATAAGATCATGGATCTTTTCCCTCAATACGAGGTTGGAAGAACATTTTTCTTGCTCGATATAGAGTGAACTGATTTTAACAATGTCTCACGTTCTCAATTGCTTAATGGAAATAAGTCGCATGCACCGATATATTGAGAACTGGAATGACATGAAACATGAGCTAACGAAATTTTGGTTGACGGAAACTACTTTTTTTAATTTATGCAAAACTATTGCCATACACGATTAGTGACAGTGAATCACAGACGCCCCTTCTCCTATTTTTCCTCAGGGGAGGGGGTCTGTACACAGGATAGCAATTCCTCATTATATGACCAACAAGGGAAAAACTACGAAAAACAATGCCATCAGCCTTTAAGCGTAACTTTGGTAATAAAGTGGCGGTGATAATTGACTGCTTCGAGATATTTATTGAAAGGCCATCAAGCTTGATAGCTAGAGCAATGACTTGGTCAAACTACAAGCATCACAATATCCTTTATACCTAAGGGAAAGTGTAAGTGATAATTATGTTACCAAAAACAGTGGTATACTAAGACAGTTCCTACCAGGGGACATCGTTTTAGCTGATAGAGGCTTTGACATTGCAGATAGTGTTGGATTCTACCGGGCAGAGCCGTATATCCCAGCATTCACTAAAGGTACAAAACAATTATCTGCACAAAAGGTGGAAGAAACAAGAAAAATCGATAATGTCCGAATTCAGGGGCACCCAACGACCAATTTGTTGTAAAATGTATTATTATACGCCCATTAATAAAAAGAAATGTTATTAAGGCATCTTCAAGTGTTTTTCAGTGTTGCTGGGAAAATATTATCTGTTCCTTTTTCCCAGCAAGACACACAAGAAATTTCCCAGACAGCTGGATAAAATTGGTTGGTTTCCCAGCCAGCTGATCAAATTTATTTCCCAGCCAGGAATTAAATTAATTAATATAAATGAAAGGAATAACAATAATGATAACAATAAAAATACTTATATTAATGTGGCTAAATGTAATTTAGGCAAAGTTAACCTCGAAACAATGCTGGTTTGCAGTTTTTCCTGCTATACTGGGGGTGGCCAGATGCCTCTAGCAGGGGCACCTCATGATCTATATATACGCAGTTGCTTGCTTGCAGTTCTTTGTAAAGTGTTGTTGCAATAGCCTGCCATTTGCGTGTTATTCTGTTTGTTTTTTTTTGACAAACAGCTGTTATTCTTGTGTTAGTATATGATACTCTAAATGTACTGCTGTCTGGAGCAGTCTGAATTTTAGGAGACTTTTGTGAGCCTGGAAAGTGAGCGCAGAATTCATAACACCTAGCAGCATTGTACGCAAGGCAATTGTTTAACATACTTGCTAGGATAAACCAAGGTAATGCACAGTTCCTTGCTATTTCCACAGCCTGAAAAATAAAATTAAAAAGGAAAAAATAAGAGACAAATGTTAATTGACTACAGCCAGTAGCAATACTGATTGAGTGTGATTTTTTCAGATCTAGTTATAGCCTTACTAATCAAAGCTATTGTTATCACAGGGGCCCCACACAAAGTGCATGACCCTTGGTACTATTGAATTCAGAAGCAATGTATGAGACTAGCAAGAAGTTCCATAATTATTACTGTACTATTCTGTGATCAATATGATATTTTCATATAAGATGAGGATAAACCAACCTTTATCTGAAATGAAGTGCTGTTGTTGTTACATTGTATGGCTGGAAATGGCAAATTTTAGTGATTTTTTTCCTGAGCAATGCAAGTCCTTGAAATTGAAGGTTAGTTTATTCTCATTTCATATGTAAATATTTATTGCAGAATAGTACAATCTTATGGAACTTTTTTGCAATTCTCATACATTTCTTCTTAATTCAATAATACCAAGGGTTACCCACTTTGTGTGGGCATACTGTGATTGGTGGTATTTGTAAAAAGTAGACTCCACCCCTTTAAATTTTTAGGTGTAGAAATCTTACGCTTAAGTTGAAACATATTTATTTAACATGAATGTCTGTGCCAAACAACAACAAAAAAAGGTT